CTCAAGTTGACGTGTCGGTTCCTTGTGCAAATTCTTCGACGATGTCTGGTCATGTTCGAGCCTCGATAGGAACACCATCACTGACCGACTGGAGCATGTAGATACATTCAGCTGACTGACGAGTCCCGAAAAAGACGAAATGCGTGTTGTCCTTGATTCCACTGCTAGTCCTCATCCACCAATTACACGACCAGACATCATCGGTGCATCTGAACAAGGAGCCGACATGTTAACCTGAGAGCGGGCACTTCATTCCAATCAATCGACAGGAGAATTTAAATTGAATTCGATACAGGTTGTACTCTTACTGGTGTTAACAACTCCTAATATAGAGAAATTATCATCCTTTATCAAAGCTAACCGCTACTTAAGTGGTGTAGAGATCTACAATATGTATACAAGTTTAGTGATTTTTACGCAAAGAATTTACAAATATATGTTTAGTGTTCAAAGAGAGAAGTATGATGGCTTGTTGTATAATTTCTTTAAATGCACAAATCCACCTTTCATTCCTTCTCTTGTCATTTTATTGACTAACTGTCAAAATTAGATTACGTACTGGGTTTTTTTCTTTTATATCAGTTGAGAAATATTGATCAAATGTCCAACTGTTGAACTTTTTAGTCTACAGTGTTAATTCCACTCTCACCTTTAGTCTTGACAGCAGCAGCAGCTAAGCAGTATTACAATATAATGTTTATTATAGCTTAATATATCATTGGAAAAGTTGCAATTACATGAGAAAGTTACATTTTCTATAGTTTGGTTTGTAAGGGTTAGTTATGTTTTTACGAGTTGATCACGGATTGATATCAGTTAGGGAACCATTGAAAACCAGCACTGGAGTACTGGACAGTCCGGCTGTTTCGTCAGCCTGGTTTAGGAATCATCGGAAGTGCGCATACACTGCCGGGGTTCACACCCAGGACCTTCCGGTTACAAGCAAGCTAGCTCATATACCATTCAGCCACTGGGACCCGATTCAATGGCTCATGAATTCTAACTTCTACCAATTCATGATTTAGCACGACCCCAACCAATGTCGTTGGTGGGACGTCCATCCTCACACGTGACATCTGGTTGAACCTAACTGTTCACGACTTCTCACTAGAACTCCAGAAAACTCCATCCTGTAGCGTGTCACTAGCGAGTATCAGATTAATTTTCTGTTTCATTCCTTGTATATTATTATTATTTGATTCCATGACGTTTCCAGTGGAACATGGGGCTTCAAGCTGGAGCTTTCATGTTTCGTTAGCAGTGGTGTTTGTTTATTTTTACGGGATGGGCTTACTAGCTAGCCGCATGTCCAACTCTCTTAATGGCTTAGTGAGGTAACGGAGTGCGTCGGTGGCGGGGGATCGAACTCTGAACCACATGTGGCGTAGTTGGCCAGCCCTCTACCACTGTGCCACCAATGCTCGACCCTTTTAGTTATACAGACTTTCGATATTTTATTATAGAATAATTACATTTGATAGAAAACACAATGATACACTTTTATTCGTACTATAAGTAAGGTGGCACAGCGGTTAGGACTCGTCGACCATACACATGGTCCGGGGCTCGATCCCCTGCCGACTCACACCTGATATGAATTGGTCAGCCTACAAAATTCGGGCTACCGATATCACATGCTGAAAAGTCTATACTTGTACCAAAATTACTGTATGGAATCAAAGTATAATGAAAAAAATCTCACAGTGTACTCCTATTCTGATCTTTTTGGTACCATTTGATTTTTTTCCTTCGAGAAAAATAATTTGCAGCTGCTTGTGAACTTCTCATTGTAGTCATAACCGAGCCCCCACCCACTCCCAGAAGTTTTATCAAATTCTCTTTAAATTAATACCTCTCTTTTAAGTGTTGGTTTGCAAGGATTCGATTTGATTGGTTTCAGGATTTCATTATGAACTGACATCGATTAGAGAACCATTTAAAAACCAGCAACAGGGAGTAATGGATAGCTGACTGCTTCGTCAGCCAAGTTTGGGACTGACTCTTCATCAGTACGCACCCACCGCCAGGTTTTGAAAACATAACTTTCTGGTTACAAGGCTAGCGAGCTTGTAGACCATTTGGCCACATGGACCCGACCCATTGATTAGTTCACGAATTCTAACCTTTGCGAACTGGTGATATTATAGTGTGACTAGTAGAAAATGTCGTCGGCGAATATTTCTATCGCTAGTGGTCGCGTCATATCATGAATTGGAAGAAATAGGAATTCATGTGCTGGTCATTGTGTCTAGTCCCAGTGGCTTAATACTCTTCAAGCTCGCCATGTGGTGGGTGCATACTATTAAAGTGTCAGTCCCAAACTAGGCTGACGAGACAGCTGGCTGTCCAGTACTCCTTGTGGTTGGTTTTCTGATAATCCTCTAACCGATATCAGTTCATGATGTAATCCTGAAACCTCGGTAATAATTTATTCGACAAAGAAACTTTAAAAAATCTAATAATCGTATTTTCACTTCATGACATAATGATATCCGTAAACGAAGATATTTTAAATAACCTAAGTATCGAGATATCCAGTGTGCAAAACAAATGTAATCGATGAGAACGGGAGATGGGAATCAGTAATGTAATGAATTGAACATTTTCATTTCATACACGTACACGGATTCATTTACATTTTTGTACACTCCTTAATCACTTGATCTTTTTATCTCAACCAACGTAATTTTTGATTGATGCAGCAACAATGCTGCCTTTTTTTATTTCATCGTCGATTTCTTAAGGTGGAAAGTGTTGTTTCACGTCTCCTGACTGAAAGGTGAAGAAGTCTGTTCTCATGTAACACGTTGCCGGGTCAAAAAGCTGTTTTTTTTCAATATGACTTTCTTTATCGGAAAATTAATTAAATAGTTTTACTGTCAAACAGAAGATATTTTGTGTAGATAGTCATTGTTACGCTCATGGTCACCATCTTGTTTTTTCTCTCTATTCATTTACTACCCTCAAGCTAGAGGCTTGAAATTTCAGTAGCAGTGGTGTTTATTTTTACGGGCTGGGGTTGCCTGCCAGCCAGCCTTATGCCCAACCTTCCTTCTTTACCAGTCTTATTACTAGCTTTTTGAGGTAAAGGAGTGCGTGGGTGGCCAGGGATCAAATCGTGAACCACGTGTGGCGTGGCTGGCGAGGCGCTCTACTGCTGTGCCACCGACGCAATTACCTACCATCTTTTATATATCATGGAGATTTTGATTTTTAAAAGCTCAGACTGTTCACAATGAAAACCATGTACACTTGAACTTACAGTGCTAACTAATCAACTGTAATCCTTACTTCTGTGTGTGTGCGTGTGTTTGTTATTTAATTGGGCTTTCTAGTTGTTGAAAATCTAAGAAAACTTCTAGAAAACTCACTTGTGTAATAAATTTTAAGAAGAAATACTTTCTAACAAGTGAAAGAAATCAAAAAATCCCAAAACCACTTAATATGTATACTTTTGGTGACGGCCATATATCTGTTGGTGTTTCGACCTACCTGTGACCAGTACACTACCTACGACTAATACTAATCTGGAACAACTGGTGCAGCTTGCTTCTCACAAGATATCTGTAGGTCTATTATGTACGATAGATCTATTTTATCTGCCTACATCATCTTTTTTTCAATTTTACGCGTTAAATATCCACCCTGTATATGTTATGACTTATGGTTAGGTATTTTCTACAGACGTAGATCAAGAGGTAGTGACAAATCTACTCAAAACCTTCTTGGTGGTTCATGCTGTTTGAACAAAAATAGAAACCTTTTGATGGCATTACAAAAGAGACTATTCTCACTTTTCAAGTATTAGTTTGTAAGGATTCGTCTGGTTGTTTACAGGAATTCATGAGGAGCTGATATCGGTTAGAGAACCATGGGAAACCCAGCCACAGGGAATGCTAAACAGCTTTTTCATCAGCCTAGTTTGTAACTGACGCTTCATTAGTACGCATCTGTTACAGGGGTTCGGACCCATGACCTACTGGTTACATGGCTTGCGAGGTCGTAGACCATTAAGCTTCTGGGACCCCGATCCAGTGGTCAGTGCGTGAATTCCAACTTCTAACAATTCACGACTTAGTGCGACAGCTAGCCAATGTCTTTGGTGAGTATTTGTCTGCGAACTTTCCTTGTAAGCGGAAGGTCCTGGGTTCGAACTCTGGTGGTGGGTGCGTACTGCTGAAGAGTCTCAAACTAGTCTGACGAAACAGCTGACTGTCCAGTACTCTGGTGTAGGTTTTCAATGGTTCTCTAACCAATGAAATCCTGTTACCAACTATTCTCACTGTTTCACCAATTATCAAAACTTACTAAGATAACTATCTCCAATGTGAAAGTTTGGCGTCTCATTCAAATCCTTAACTAGATGTACAATATATGTCAAATGCACTTTAGCGAAGATCATACAATAGATTTATTTTTCATTACTCATAGTGTATAGATAGGAAAATGACGAATAAATAGCCCTTTGTCTCTAATCATCGTTTGTAGACTTTCTGACTGATTGGGGTCCTCAGGACGGTAAAAGTCAATGCCGGTAGCTAGAGACAATTGGTGATATATACAGCTTAAAGTTGTCGTTGTCAATGGCCGTCGCAGATGCACTTGTAATATTCAATGGAATTATGTAGATCTTAGGTATTACTATTTTTTTATCTCATATCTCTGTTTACTGTCTCCATTTTGCATTTCTTCTACTTTCTTCTCTTGGTGTTTATGTGCTACGAAGAGGGAGAGTGGAGACTCGAACTGCTTGTTCTGCGTTGAAACCAATCAGTCAGTTAGTCAGCATACTTTATTTCTATTCACTAAGTGTGTTTGCTGCTTCATATTTCACTGACTTCTATTCACACAGTGTACATTCAATAGTCACTTATATGAACAAGTCAATTTACAACCATTGAATATATATTTTGAAAAAAAAACACAAAAACAAATCACATACACACGAAGGTAGCCTTGGGAGAGAAAAATAGTCATACATTGTATATATTTAAAAGAGATGAGATTCTGCATCTTTATACACATCTTTATAGTTCTTCCTAATGGTTCTATGCTGCTCTGGTGTGTAGTGATCAATATTTCAGTTGAATCACTTCAGCACATATGTGTTAGCCAACCACAGTTACACTCTACTCTTCTCTATGTACTGTACTCACTTTCGTTATCATTCCTTCATTTCATTCTTATGGTTTGTCATCACAGGATAGTCATTATCACTATTGCCTTTATCATCATGAGAATGCTCGATGTTAGGATAATGATGACCATGACCATGACCATGGCGACGATGACATTGAAAACAGCACAGTCGACAACACCATGACATCATTTTTCTCAATAAATTTACGAAATTCACTCGAAATTTTTGTGACATCGCACAATAAAGTATAAAATTTATTGATGAATTTAATAATACTAATAAATCTAATATATCACCTAATGGGACATAAATTGTACTTAAAAAACATTCACCTTTTATTGCAACAAGTGTATTGAATACACCTTGTGGTGCTTCTGTTATCACAAAACTAATCACAACTATTATCAACATGATAGTGACACGTTGACCTTCACGAGCTTTTTTACGCAAACGATTTGATAGACTTTTTGTAACAATTTGTTGTTTATTTTTTGTAAGCATATTATTATTATGATGATGATTAGATTGTAATTTTCTTATGTAATCATTGTGACTAATATCTAATCCAGATGTTTGTAACACGGCTATGGGATTCTCAGTTATTGTTAATGATAGTATTGATTGGTTTGGTTTCAGTTGATTCTGGTAGGGTCGGTGTACACCGTGGTCATTATTCGCATTATTAGCGTATTATTATTATTATTATTAATACTTTTATGGTCAGGTGTTATAGTATTATTGACTTGTAAATGCGTATGATGATTTTTTGATGCCTCTTTCATCGTTATCATTACCATCTGATCGCCGTTGTTGTTCTTGTTGGTGGTGTTGTTGGTGTTCATGTTGTGGGTGTTGTTGCTATTATTATTATTATTATCATCATTAATATGTATTTCAATTGGTAATTGTTGTAACTTTTTATACCTTTTTCGGGCTTCATGTAATACAATTAATATAAATATTGTAAAAATAACAATCAATATTGAGGCTAAAATCTTTACAAAACATCCATAGAGAATAAAGTGGACACGTTCTAATGTCTGCCCACTGGTATTGCGTAATTTAAACCAATAGTATAATAATTGTTGATTATCAGTTACATTAGTACCGGTATTATTGTGACTGACATTCACGCTGTGATTATTGTCATTATAGCCTTCCAACGTAGTCGTTATATTAATTAATTCACATTGATATATAATAAATGTTGGCAAGCATAATACACTGCCTAACAGGCCAGCACTAATATAACAATAAATAATAAACCGTTTCTTTGATGATATCATTAACCACTTTCGCATAGACTGTCTTTTCAGTTTTAATACATCTTTCAATTTATTTGAATATAATATCCAACACCGATAAATAGCTAATTGAACCAGTAAACATGTTGATATTGTATGACTACCAATACTAAGCATATGATGAATGAGTATTAAGTGGACAGCCAGCTGACTATGTGGATATTTATCTGGATACGGGGATGTCATAAAGTGTAGATAAATCACTTGTAAACCATAACCAAGCATTTTTAAACTATCTACAATAGCTATACCAGTTAATAATGTATTTGTTGGATTATGCATTTGTTTTTGTGTCAGAACAATAGCATTCAATAGATTAGTTCCTGTACCGAATAAACAGATTATACAGGCTAGATAAGCATGATATGATGCATAGAATTGTTCAAAGTGTTTTAAACTTGGTATAACTGTACATTCGACACCTGTGGACGAGGAGCGTACCAGGGAGGATAATGTTGTTGATGATGATGACGACGATGGTGATGGTGGTGACGGTGACGAGTGTGATGTCACTGATATCAATTCAAATGAATTATTATGATTATTTTCATAATTATTCATCAAATTCATGTCGTATCTATAATACACATGTTATCATAATCATTTTTATTTCCGTATGTTTTTTACAAGAAACTTTGTTTATTAAAATACTCTTTCTTCTATTCTGTATGTCTATTTTTTTGGCAATGTGTGCAATGCCATGGAATGCATCCAAGTAATAAACGAATGCTGTCTTGCATAAGCAAATAATTAAGGCCGGTTTAATTACTAACTTAATACTTACTTATTCGTGATTGGTTGGTTTTTGATGCATATATATATATATATATATATATATATATTCCTAGTTTGTGATTGGTCGGTTAAAGAACTCCCCGTCCACACACACACACAAACCCAAGGTTAATTTTTGATGAAATTAGATAAAATTCATCAAATCGGAATGTATTCTCTACAGAGTGATTAACTTGTTCTCATAGTTATAAGGAATGAAGTCTACTCTTTCCTGAGTTGTGATTTTTACAATATCCACTTAGTTACTACGCGTCCCCTATGATTTCTTTCGAAATCACATTACCAATAACTTATTTGGAAAACAGAAAGATTGAGCGAAGAAATATTTACTTTTCAATTAGATCCTCATCTCTGGCTCTACTCTAATATATATAGCATTTTTTACAATACACAACAGTTTACCAAACAAGTGGTGATATGTTTGTTAACAATAATTAAACAGTGTCAAAATGTCAATGGGTTGATAATTAACGCAGAAAATCAATACACATTTAAAAAGTAGAAATGGATAGAATAAATTAATTTTACAAGGTTAACACGTAATTAAAGATGAAGTGGTCAAAATAAAAATAAATAAAATAATTTGGACAATTATAATTTAATTGGGGGAGGGGGGCGACGTAGTCCTGTCTTGTGACGATGGCCACGGTAAGGAAAGTGGTTGTACAAATTTCTTCTGTACACATAGGCTTGGTTTCTTCTGGTGGATTCCTATTGCTTCAGCTACTGTAGAAGACGAACTCGTAGAGCAAAGTTAAGATTAGTTGGAATGCGATAAATAATTTTAAATGCAGTATTCACATCAACCTTGTGCTCAGTATCAATAAGGTGTGCTAAAATAGAACTACGAATAGATCTCGTTTATCCCTTGCTTAACCACGCTGGATGATGTTCAGAAATACGACGATGAAACTGCCTAATTGTACGCCCAATAATAATAGTGATAATAGTAATATTTTCAAGTATTGTTTTTGTAGGGATTTTGTTTACTTGGTTGAAGGGGATTACAACTTAAGCTGACTTCAGTTCTTTAACTGTGATAGCTTTATTCCAAACACTACTTTTGGTTTCTTTTCCTATAGTTTGGTTTGTAAGGATTAGTTTTCCTTCAACTAGTTGATCACGGATTCATATCAGTTAGAGAATTATTGAAAACCAGAACTGGAGTACTGGAAAGCCCGGCTGTTTCGTCAGCCTAGTTTGGGAATCATCGGAACTACGCACCCATCCCCAGGGTTCGAACCCAGGACCTTCCGGCTACAAGGCCATTCAGCCACTGTGACCTTATTTAATGGCCCATGAATTCTAACTTCTATCAATTCGTAATTTAATGCGACCACCAACCATTGTCGTCGGTGGGACATCCATCCTCACACGTGACTGGATGGACTTCACTGGTCATGACTTCTCACTAGAACTCCAGGAAACTCCATCCTGCATCAGACTAATTTTCTATAGTTGGCTTGTAAGGATTAGTTCTGTTTTTACGAGTTCATCATGGATTGATTGACGATGATTCGCAAACTAGGATGAAACAGTAGCTGTCCAGTACTTCCTTGTGGTTTTCAATAGTTCTCTAACTGATATCAATCCGTGATCAACTCGTAAAAACTACTTTTGGTACAAATGTGGAATTTTCAGCATGTGAGTATTACAGAATTGCAATTAACTTTCTTATTACAGGGATAATAATTAAAATAGGCTATTTTACGTCGATAATACTGTTCCATAAAAAGAAATGAATATTAAATTAAATTAAGTGAATATATATATTAACAATAATAATGAAAACAAAGGGTCGTTTACTTAAAGTTTCTCAGTAAAGTTGGTAATCCCTTTACTGTCTTACATTTTTCTCACCACATATAATGTGTGCTCGCCAAATAAGGTATTTTAGAGATTTTGTACTTCGCTATCCGAGCATACAGCCTTCTATAGCTGCCTCTAGTTCTACCCGATGAGATGCAAGGAAAGAGTCGTGTATGGAGAGTATGTTCAGAGTCCGACAAGATAATATTTGAATAAGGCATTAAGAAGATAAATTTCGCGAGATGATATCATTTCGTAGTTTCTTTACAACCGCTTTACAACTAACATGGTTAACAATAATAAAATCAAGTTCATGACAATTACTCAGTTTAATAAAAAAACAAAAGTACATACTAATGACCAATCATATTTAGATAGGTCAAGTAGTCCAGGGTAGGCGAAGATTGAAGTCTATTGAATTTTGTACACACAGTTTAGGCTGTATGTGATTAATCCAAAGTGCTTCCGTCACCTTCAATAACCTTGAATTAGAGTTATATATTTGCTAATTTCTTACCGGAATCCATGTGTCTATCTACAATAGTATTAACGAGTTGGTTTAGCAACACCCCACTCCCCCTACTGACAGATTTAAGTGCTCTTCGCAGTATAACAAAATCTTTCTTAAGTAGCCCGATAAAGATTAAGTTGTGAGGGAGCAGGAAAGAAGTGTAGGCGGAAGTATAGGACTTATGACATAATAAATCGTATCTTTGATAAATTTTTAATCGATCATTGCACCAATTATATTCATTATCGTTTTGTATGTGACTGACTGTTTTCAAAGTAGAACTTTGCACTGATGTGCACTGATTCCACTTGACACACTCCCACCTTGTACCACACAAAGCAAGAGAAGAGAGAAATAAAGGACTTATTAAAAGACAGAGCTAATGAATAGAAGTGTGAGTGAGGCAAAAAGAATAGTGATATGGAAGAACAGTAGAATGTCATTGGATATTATAAATCACAAAGAGTGAATGCATCTGCGACAGCCATTGACAACGATAATTTTGAGCCATATCACCGATTGTCTTCAGGCGCCGTCATTGGTTCTTACCATCCTGATCACCCCAACCAGCCAGCCAGGAAGTATATACTTCCCTCCCTATGTGACTGTCTGGCTCAAATTGAACTATTGTGGATTTCATTGACTGATGAAGCCATGTTTTCGTTTGACCACCACTAGCTGACTCTTCTCTAACTTCATACATCCTGCGTCAGTCAGCTAACATTGCTCGTTGGTCGATGAAGGCGGTGGATGGCTAGGCTAGTCATGCATGCGTAACACATGTCCTAAAAATACCTCTCAATTTATGTAAATCCACAACCACCTCGTCTATTGATTTCCCCTCCCACCTACCTGGCTTCAATATTGCTCACCTTATTCTACCACCACCAAACACATACAGGACATAGAACACATGCTCCTATGCGTTTCATACATGGCACCAGTCAATGAAATCCACAACAGTTAGTTTAAGCCAGCCGGCCACGTAGGAAGGTGTAGACTTCCTGACTGGTTGGGGTCCTCGTGACGGTAAACACCAATCACTGGCTGGAGACAATCGGTTATGTAGCGCAAAATCGTTCTCAATGGCTGATGCGGATGCATCCAGTCCTTGTGACTTACAATTTTCAATGAAGCTATATTGTCCTTCGTTATTATTATTCCTTTCGTCTCATATCCCTGTTTACTGTCTCCATTATGCATTTCTTTTTAATTCCTTCTCTTGCTTTGTGTGCTACAAGGAGAGAGTGTGGCGACTTGATCTGCTGCACATTGGTGCAAAGTTCTATGTGTGAAAACAGACATTTTCATACATAACAGCTAAACGAAACTATCATAACTGTATACATCTTGGAAAATACTTTGTGAACACAAAGGGACCCTCCCATTTTGCATCTATGTACCCCCTACTTTATAAGACAATTTATTCTGGTTCAACGTCTAAAATGACTACAGGATTTCATCATGAGCTGACATTAGTTAGAGAACCATTGGAAAACCTTGGAGTACTGAACAGCTGTTTCGTCCTAGTTTGGGGCTCTTCGGCGGTACGCGCCCACCGGGATTCGAACCCAGGACCTGCTGTATACAAGGTTAGAAGTCTCGCTATGTCGTGAATTGGCAGAAGTTAGAATTCATGGGCTATTGGATTGGGTCCCTGTGGCCTAATGGTATACGAGCTTGCCATGTAACCAGAAGGTCCTGGGTGTCGAATCCCGGTGGGTGCGTACTGATGAAGAGCCCCAAACTTGGACGAAACAGCTGTCCAGTACTCCCAGGTTTTTCAATGGTTCTCTAACTAATGTCAGCTCATGATGAAATCCTGGAACCAATCAATCAAATCCCTACAAACCAACACTTGAATGTCTAAATGACTGCCTGAAATTACATCAAACGACGCTCACCTTTAGAATTAACCCATTCGCTATTCAAACACAGGTAACGACACAGCCAACAGGCTTGCATTAAAATTAATCTGTGTTGTTGACTGACTATCAAAACGCGAATACTTATCCTTTTCTAAATTAACCGTATATGCCCTTTTTGTATCACAGAGCTAGCTACTAGCTAGCTAGCTGTGTAAAGGGCAAATCAACTGATGTAAGTTTATATTAAACAGGTTTATAACATTTTCTGGTTGAATAAATGCAGAAATTTTGTGTAAGACACACATGGTTACTTTGATGTAGACCATATATATGTTATATGGTGATGAAACTGCATTTTTTTCTCTCCCTTTTTTTGCTTTATAATAACAGTTGAGATGTTATCACAATTTACATAACAAAGTTACCGGAGGTAATAATAGTTGTAGGGTGAGTGTGTGTGTGTGTGCGTGTGTGTGTGAATATGCGTCGATGTATTTTAGAAAAAAATGCAAAAGGTGAAAACAATGTTAAGGTCATTTTTATATAAATTGAAAACTGCAACACCTTCACAGTTAGGTTATTTCAAT